CCCCAAAACCCCAAAACCCCAAAACCCCATGAAGCAGATTATTGTGCATCCAAAATTTAATGAAATTAATAATTAGGAAATAAATCATTAGATATTGCTTGAATATATCTCTAAAATAAGTTCAAAAGTCCATACTTGCATCAGAATTAGCTCTCTTATCAGCCTAAGCCTAGTCAATATTGTTTATCTAAAGATTATTTCTACTTATACTAAAATTTGAGCTACTAAATTTATGCGTTTTCAAGTTATCAATTTCTTACTACTCTTATCTATACGTACTATAGAGTAAAGGCCCAATTATTCCAAATGAAAGAACAACTTGAACTATCAGTAGGAGATAGCCTTCCACTCCATCTTATAGATGATTGCAAATGAAAATTATTCCTTGACTAGTTAATGTATTTAAAACAAGATGAGTAGCAGTAAAAACTGAATGAAGCTGGCCGAAAATCTTTAACTTATGTTTTAAATGAGCAATTTTACCTAAGTCAGCCGAAAAGACAAAATTCACAAAATTATACAAAATCAGTGTAAACAACCCTTGAGTTCTTACTAGATAGAATGGGATCTAAGAATTGATTTCTGATACCTAAAATACATGAATAAGTAAGGCTAAAATATCTGCTATTCCACTAATAAGTAGAAAGATGAAAAATAGTTTCATTAGTCTCCCTACAAAATATCTTGATGAGATTAATCCTGCAATCATCAGAAGGATTGCCTTGAGGAATACGAAAAGAATTTCTAATGTAGTATTTTATTAGATTCTTTCCTACAAAATAATATCAGATATTTTACCATCTCCATTATTAGCATGTATAACTTTATCAGTCAAAATCACTAAGGTAATATTGCTAATGTCAAATTTTATAAAAACAACTATGAGTACTATTAACAATCTGATAACGTTTGGATATGATAAAATACTGAGCATACTTATTCCTTTACTGTTCATGCTCAGAATCTAATTTGAAAGTTAATGAGTTATGTTTCTATAATCATTTTTATCATAGTATTAATCCTCCTGAGTATCCATTATCATCTAAGAGTAATTATTGCTAAGCTTATTAAGATTGTTAGTTTGAGTCCTAGAATGGTGCTTTTTCATTAAAGCTGTTGTATTTTTTCTTTCAATATGAGAAAATGTTTTTTCTTAATAAATTTAAGCGTTTTTATCATGAATCTATACATCAGTAACCCTTAAATCTAAATGATTGAAAGGATTTATAGATGAGGAGCTTGAAGTGTTTGATAAACTTATTCTATTAGGAGCTGGGATTGTTGCATTTTAATTAGTATTCCTATTTTTATATTTTAAAAGTAATGGACTTTCTTTTGGATAATTTTATTCAACTTTCTAATCTTCATGAGTTTACTTTTTTTCAAAGCTATCAGAAATTAAGCAACTGACTAGAACCAAATTTTCATTCATCAAGAATCCCTTTTCTAATGGATCAATAATAAGATAAAGCCAGTTAAGAACAGCTACAATTAACAATAGAATCACACTTGTGTAAACTTATAACTCTCGCTACTCATCTGTTCTGTAAAGTTATGAAGGTTCTTTATTATAAAGAAGGCTTAGACTTTGTGCTAGAGGCTCTGATAAGGAAATAACTCCCAATATAAATATCAGATAATACCTAGAAAACCAATTGAATAAAGTCACTTAGATTACAAAAATCACAATATTTTGAGGAACAAAGTAAAATATAGCCATTCCCTCTAAGTCATTCTCATCAAAGCCCATACTGTAACCAATTCTTCCATCGATAATCTTAAACACTGCGATTACGAGGAGACAAGAGACATAAAACATTTTAAGTATTCTGAATTTGATATCGATTAATTGGCCAAATATAAGGATGATGAAAGCAGTCACGTAACTTGATTGGATGAACACTTCCTGGTATAAATTATCTTATAATACATTATTCCAGCTTATAACTGATATCTATTGCGTTGAACCAAGACTTATCAAGAAGTTAGTAATAAAGCATAAACTTAGAATCTAGATTTTTTCCTTCAAATATGATTTGCTGGATAGATCCTAAATTATCCTCTCTTTGTCTAGAACTTGTTATTATAATTACATTATAGATTTTATAATAATCTTAATTATATTAATTTAAGTTGCTTTTTAATTATGCTTAATTTAGAGTGATAATATTCTAATATTTTGTAGGGTTTTCAACTAACTGAAATTAATTATAAATTGTGCTATTCTTTTTATAATTAGAAGCCTCAATTTGCTGTTTTTAACTTTAAAAATTTAGTTATTATTACTATTGTATTTAAGTTTAGCCATTTTATTTTTAATTGTCATTATTTAAATCTTGAATAATCTAATTTTCATAACTATTTTTTCCTTGTTAACATTCTAATTACGAGTTTGTACCTTTAATCGTATACACATCATTATCCATAATACTCTCAATTTCTTCGACATACCATCCATTGTCAAGAAGAAGAGCAAGTCCTTTTGAATATGGTATCCCAACTTTTTCAGTTAAATCATATATTAATGTGTCAAAATTATTTGAGTAATTATTTAAGTTGAGACACACTCTTTTTATATAATTACCTTTTCTTAAGCCAATCTATGTAATTTTTTAATTTCCTTGAAACATTTGAAAATTTCTTAATTGGGGTTTTGGGGTTTTGGGG